CCATTACAGTGTCCCTGAATTAACTCTATCCGTACGTCGTGTTTTACTATCGTATCCATACAACATGGGAAACTCCGTGCCACCACTTAACCCTATCCGTACGTCGTGTTTTACTATCGTATCCATACAACGAGGGGAACTCTGTGCCACCACTTAACTCTATCCGTACGTCGTGTTTTACTATCGTATATATATAACGAGGGGAACTCTGTGCCACCACTTAACTCTATCCGTACGTCGTGTTTTACTATCGTATCCATACAACGAGGGGAACTCTGTGCCACCACTTTCCAAAGACGAAATTTACTCGTTAATCCGATACGTACGCTTTGCATAGCAGTGTGTCAGAATTAATTTTTTGAGAAAAACTGAAAGTTTCAAAGAGATCTTCGTACTAGAGATATTCTAAAATGTGAAGAATACAAACCCGGGGGTACAAAATCTCCCCAGGGCGTACGGATAGGGTTAACCAGCTGCTAACTAGCAAGAGGCGGCGGTGGCCTAGTGGTTAGGGTACCGGACTCGTAATCGTGAGATTGTGGATTCGGGGGTTTGAACATCAGCTCGGTCCGACGTTGTATCCTTGTAAAAGGCACTTTACACGAATTTCCTATTTGGCTCGCTCCAATCGGAGATGGACATTAGACTCAGACGTCCCTCCTCTTGAATAACCTACATGTAACAGTTTTGATAAGGGCGTTAAACATTTACGTGTTGTTGTTGGTGGGTTGTTGTTTTTTTGTTTGTTTGTTTGTTTTGTTTTGTTTCTGTGATTTTTCTGTCCCTGCGGTTTTATGCAAAATAAATTCTGAAATTATGCAAACTGAGCCCAAAAATGTGAAATTATGCGATTCTGTTAATTTTTTACAAAGAATGATAAAGGAAAATAACCAGAAATTATGAAAAAAAATGATCAAATGTTGCTAAATTATGCGGGGTGCATAAAACCCCGGGGACAGATAATTGGCACGATCAACAAGCCAACCCTTCCATGGATCCTGGAGAGGAAGGAGGAGCAGCTATGGCATGGTACCGCCTGCAGCGATACTTATTCTCCAACCAAATAAGTAAGTAAGCAGTCCCTGGGTTAGGACCAATCTAAGACAGATCTGTGAGGGGTTCTCTCGTGGCCTAGTGGTTAAGGTGTTGGCCTCTCATTCAAAGGTCCCGGGTTCGAATCCGGGTAGCGACCGAAAAATTTTCTTCTTTAAATGTGTCTCCTTTCACCTAATTTCCTGCTCTCTAGCAATGTTCTGTCGTCTGCTTTCGTCTCCTCTTTCTGCCCCCACCCCCTCACCTCCTTTGCCCCCTCCCCTTACTCTTTCTACCACCTTTCTACTGCTACTCCTTGGCTCCTCCTTACTGCTGTCTTTCAGCCACACCCCTGATCTTCTGGTAAGAAAGATCTACACCTAGCCTTCTCGGACAAGGGCGAAAAATCTCGGAGGGTCCGTGTGCAAGTTGCGCACGTTAAAGATCCCCTGGTGGTCTAAAATCGATAAGAGTAGGCTTCGGCCGCCACCCGGGCAAAATTCAAAATTTCCTACCAACTGAAAATATTAGGTGTGTCCCGCTCGCTCATATGACCTTATGCAGTTGCGAGCGCCGTAAAACACTTTACAAAAACAAAAAACAACAACAAACAAAATCTGTGAGCAGTTGTCTCCGGGAGATAAAGATAAACGAATGGGTGGCTGGCATGTGCTCTGCTATGGTTTGCTTCTTCTTCCCTATCAAACGTCTATCGTCCTGATCTCTCCTCCTTTTTTGTGCTTGTTACTCTCTTGTAACACCTCTAATCTTCGGCACTTATATGACCTTATTGGGTTGCAAGTGCCGTAAAACTCGTACTTAAACTAAAAGTAAAAGATGAACTTGATTCGCCATCTGAGCTTCCTCCCGAGCCCTACTACTGAAAGACACAATTGATTCCGCTTGTTTTCTCTAGATCTATTTTAATCCTATCCGTACGTCGTGTTTTACTATCGTATCCATACGACGTGGGGAATTCTGTGCCACCACTTTCCAAAAAGGAAATTTACTCGTTAATCCGATCCGTACACTTTGCACAGCATTCTGTCGGAATGATTATTTTTTTTAGAAATACTGAAAATTTCAAATAGATCTTCGTACTAGAAGTATTCTAAACTATGAAGAATACAACCACGGGGGTACAAAATGACCCCAGGGCGTACGGATAGGGTTAAACATGTTTGTGACAGAAGCTACTATTGTTTGTGCTCTACTGTTTTCTACAAGAAAAAGGAAATTATTAATGATAAGAGTAGGCTTCGGCCACCACATAGGGCAAAATTCAAAATATATTCCTACCAAACTGAAATTGCTTAATGAACGTCAATGTGTCCCTCGCGCTCATAATATGATCTTATGCAGTTGCTAGCGCCGTAAAAACAAATTATTAAAATAAAGCAACAAAACTATTTTTTTTCTTAAAATTAAAAAAGACATCTGTGTGTCAGGTTCAGTTTGTGACTAGCCTCAACTTTTCACGCCAAAACTCTTGGGTTGTTGTAAGTGCAGTAGGCTCCGTTTAACCCC